CGAGAGACAAAAACACGCTCTATGCCTTTCGTGTGGCTCTTTTATTTGAACTCGCAAGGAATCGACCTCTCGATCCTGCACCGCGCGATGAGCGTGGATTCGAAACGCTCGCCAGCCGCTTTCACATTTCCATTTGTGCTCGCTCGCTTGCTCGCTAGCCGAGGATATATACGTGTAATTATACTATTCGGCTGCTTTTTTCCATCCTCAATAAAGTGCGCGCGCGACTTATCTCGTGCGAATTTATATTTATTGCACTCGGCGTCGTCGCCTGATGAAATTTGCGATGTTGGCCACACTACTGGCGGTGGTGCTAAATTTGCGGTTAACTGGGTCAGAGCGACTATTGACAAAATTTCGTGAGTGTGGCGGCCCAGCGTGCTCGCGTTCTTTTTTGACAAAATTAAGACACAAACCCAAAGGGAGGTAAAAAAAAGATAAGAAATTAATTATACCGTTCAGAGAAACAATAACATTTAATACTTATTAATTTTAACTCTGTTTTAGAGAAAATGAACGTGAACTAAATTTGTTTCATTTTGTTTTATCGTTCTCTTGTGCAAATACGGATTTTCTTAACTAACACAATGTAATAAAGGGCACAAGGGCAGCTCACAAAGACGGTTATGAGATTAAAAAAAAAACTCGGGTCAAACGGTCAAAAGGACCTCATTTCACTCTCATTGGCTACTTTTTATCGCAGGTTGGCCACCTTTTTCGGTTCAGATGCACTTAGAAACACAATAGGAATCGAGCGGTTAGTTTCAACTATCTCTCTCACCGGCAGCCTTGAATAAAAATAAAAATTGACCGTTCAGTGTCATCATATTCTTTTTCCAGTTTCTTATCGCATCTTTTGAGATAATTCACTCTCAAAACGAGGGCAATGATCGAGTCGCTGCCACATTTAATGTTCAATTAAATCTAGATTGCATTGTGTGTTCTGTTGGTAACCAAAAGTAATCCTATAAAAGCAATTTGCAAATCGAAGCATTTTGTGTGCAGAAGAATCGGCCGTAATTGAAAAGTTACAAAACAAAAGAGACCCTGCCTCTTGCGAAATGAAAAGCCCCATTAATTAATCGCGTTAATCGAGGCAGATAAAATGGTAATTCGATTCTAACGAGCTCTCGTGTGTGTATATGTGCATAATGTAATATCTGAGTGCTCTGCGGGAGGTGCTCGGCAGCAGCAGCAGCAGCCGCGGTTGAGCAATGAGCGAGCAATTGAGGCTGCAGCGATTATCAACGCTAGGCCTTTTATCGCACCTCGAGAGCAGCTTTCCGAGAAGCGGCGCGGAGCCAGGCCGTCTGCTGTCCGCTCGTCGGTCGCCATCTTGATCGCGCGATGGGCTAAATGTGGACCCAATTCGGCCCAGCGGGTCACTCACCTCTTTTGCCATTTCTCTAGCACCGCAAGTTGGCAACCAAGGTTACAATTCGAAATTAGGCTAATCGAGAACAGCCCCAGGGTTGAATGTTGAATTCTATTAAAAAAATAAATAATTAATAATATTAAAGAAGGTTTCCCGCCTAATTTTGGCGATTTTACTTTCGATTTTTTTTTTTAAAATTGTTTCAAGGTAAATATATCAGCAGGCAAGCGAGATGAAGTGGCATTCGCAACCCTTTCTTTATTTCTTCCTTTTTTATTAAAAAAAAAGAGTGCTAGTTCAAAGCATGCACTTCTTCTTCTTCTTCTCCGCCCCCGAGTGCTTTACAGCCTTGCCAAAATTTCGCAATTCGCAATTTCGCGAATTTTTTGCAAGCACTCTTGATTCTTCGGGGACCAATTTTTCGCTTTTACGGGCCTTCCGGTGAAGTTCCCGAGGGACTCGGACCGGCCCCGGCCGCCCGGGGGCGGGCGGAGGCCGGTGTCCCAGTTAGAGGTCAGTGGATGTGGCAACGTGCTCGCTGCTCGGCTCGTTTTTCGTGCGCACAGCTGTACTCGAAGGCAACTGCTTGTGCAGTCCCATCATTGGTCGACGGCTGGACCAATGGCGGCGCAGCCGGCGTTCTCGCGTGCTCGTTGCTATGCCGGCTCTCGAGGCCCCGCGACTGCATGCCGTGTGCACCGGCAAGCTTTTCAGGCGAACTCGCTCTCTTTGTGTGCCGCTCACGCTCAATTTTTCTCCTTCGACCTTTTCAATCCGCTCTTGTGTTGGAGTGCCCTGGTGTAAAAAATAACCAACACGAGCTGCTTGCAGATTTTTTTTATCCCATTCCTCTTTCTTTCTCTCCCTTTCATTCTTTTCGGGGGATGAGATGTCTCTTTTGCTGAAGAGCTCGCAATCTCGCTGAATGAACGTGATCTTTATTCGCCAAGGACGTGTCAATTTCGGCTCGAAATATTAGAGGCGAGGAAGACCTGTTCTCCGGTTCGGTCAAATTGATTTGGGGAAAATTGGAGAGTGTCACCGGGGGCAGGAATTGACAGAAATAAAGGAGATCAAATTGGAAGCCGGCACATATTGCACTCTCATATTACTTTTCGCTACAAAAAAGACCAAGTCAGTCAACGGAAGAATAAAAAACCATGTTAAATAAAAGAGATCGGATCAAGTGTTTTACGTTCAAATTTGAGATGGTGATGATTTGTCGCTTTTTTAACAAATAAAGCTCTCAGAAATTTTAATGAAAGACCTTGGAAGGTGTTTCATTTTTTTTTTTTTTTTTTTTTATTCATTAAATGCATGGAACCTATATTTTAAGACTTTCAATTTCAATAATTATATCTCACAATTTGTTTTCTCCGATTATCCCTTTTTGTTTGAATAATTTAAGATTAAAATAATTAGTTTTTAAAGTTTTCAATTTATTGAATCATTTTTTTCTGATGAAGCAGAAATTTTTACCAATATTAAGATCAAAATCTATTTTCTATAGTTCCCTTTTTAGGACTACAAACAGAATCAGTTTAATTGAATTATAATAAAACTTTGACAATATATTTTTTCCACTTTGTAGAAAAGCTAAAGCTCTTGAGAGAATAGTGATTTTAATTGTGCAGCTAAACAAATTCCGGCAGAAACCTACTTGGCGCTTTTAGAGCCCGCACGACCAGTTATCAGCCGCCGCTGAAAATAAATAGCAAAAAGTTGGATAAGTTGTGGCCTCTAGAGCTCGGCGATGGCGCCGTCCTCCAAATTATGAACACAAGTAAAAAATCGCGCCGACCTTAAACTGTTTGACCAAGCGCGCCACAAAACACACATAAGTCTTCTTTCTCTTTTATTCTCGTCCAACCGAAAAGGAGGAACGAAATTTGTGATCTTAAGTTTTCCACTGATCCCTGCCAGCAAATTGCTTGCAGCGCAAATCCGCTTTGCCCGAAAGCTTTTCCTTTGCCGACATTTTTAAAAGGAAAGAAAGAAAGATGCACTTGTCTCTCTCTTTCGTTTAGGGGTTGCTTTTCCTTTCCAACAAAGAAAGAAGAAGGAAAGTGAGCGCGCCGAGTAGGCTCTGCTGCTTTTCTCTTCTCTCCTGGTTTTCTGCCTCTCCACATCCCGTGGGCGAAAATGCATTGCAGCTGCGAGGGGAGAGGGGTTGGCGTTTGCCGGCTTGGGGAAGGTCGGGGGTGAGTCAGTGCAGAGGGGCGCAAAAGTAAAAGCGGCCCAGCGACAGCAGCTAACTCGCTCGCTCGCTCTCAAAGTCACTTTCAAAGCAAAAATCAATCGAGCCGGCTGGCAAGTACGTGTTTCACTCGCCGCTCGCTCGCGGTGCAGTTTGTTGCACTTGGCGCCGCCTGCACCACCTTGAAACTCATCGTCCTTCCTGGTTGCACATCCCATCTCGCGGCGGCGGCGGCCGATTCGTCTGCGGAAATGCTCCCCGTCAAGATGATTAAGATTGCTTGAGTGAATAAAAAAATCCACACCTCGACAAGAAGTGCAACTCGAGTCGATCGGAAATTGCTTGACGTCTGAATCGATTTTCTCCGAGTTGTCAGGAAATTGAAATAAATCTGAAAGCTTATAAATTTGATTCAGAAAATATTGAAAGTTTAATAGAAAAACTATATAAGATTAGTTTCATTTACCACTGCCAGACCACTGCAATAAGTTTTATTAAATATTGCAAATTATGAGCAATTGTTTTCTAGAAGCTAATCTTTTGCGCAAAGTTTCAGATAATTTCTAAAAATAGATGCACTCAATGAGCTAATTAGGTTGTTAACGAGGTATAATCTATTTACAAGTTATGGAAAATTTCTAAAAATATGACTGAGCTTGTAATGTTCTCGAACTTCAACTAATCTATTGCAAAGATTGGGGAAATTTCTAAAAATAAATGCACTCATTTCACATGATTATTTCACAAAAAGGATTAATCATTTTTTTTTATATCTCTGTGTCGGTGGACAAAAGTCCAATCAAGAAGCAAAGCTTTGTATAAAATATTATCGCTTATCATTCGGCGGGGATTATAATGAATCAAACGCCGCATCGTCTGGGAAAGCTCCGAGTCAGCGACTCATTTCACCTCTGCTGCTCATTGAAAGAGGTGCCGCGAGAAAAATCTAGGCTGTGCTCGGAGCGGTATGCATATCTCCTTTTTTTTTCTTATATAATATTCCCTCGCCTTTGGATGTTGAATGTCATGCTCAAGTGCAGGAGCTTGATGCTTTTTTTAGTGGGCTAGGTTCTTGGTTGGTTGGAAAGAGAAAGAAAGAAAGATGGATGCTGATTACCCTTCCTTCAAAGCGCACCAGCACCTCATCTCATTATCCGTGCCTATACTTAAAAACCGGCCGGTGTCTGCTGCCGGCACCAAAAATAGATATTAACAGAGACGGAGAGAAAATCCACTCCAGCGCCTCGTAAAAATTCTCTCCGGCTTAATATATTTTATATATATTGTGTGAAGTTATGTGCAGAGACTCCCAAGCCTTAGTTCTGGCCTCGGAGAAATATTTTAATGGAGACAAATAATTCCCAACTCTCGCATTAACAGAATTTTTCTTCTTCCAAGTTGCTTAATTTTCTTCTTCTCTTTTTGCAGCCAATTGAGGATTGGACGGCTGACAACGTCGTCGAGTGGATGGCCGTGCTGAATTTGTACAGATACGCCGGGGTGTTCAAGTCAAAAGACATCAAGGGTTCTGATCTCATCTTTTTAGACCGCGAAAAACTTCTCGTGAGTTATATTTTTTTTCTGAAAAAAATTTCTAAAATTGCTAAATTTCTGTTTTTAATTGCAGAACATGGGCATTAAGGACGAGTTCCACCAAGAAACAATTTTGAACAGCGTCCGGGAACTGGTGAACAGCGGCAAGGTTGATCCTCTGGAGGCGCCAAGTGAGTCCAACATCAACGGGCAACCACACAACCTACTCGAGCACTCCTTCTCAAAGCTCGAAAAGTGCGCCAAGTGCAAGAAGTTCCTCAGGGGCCTCCACCACCAGGGCTTGCAATGCAAAGGTGAGAAATTTATTTCTTTAAAAAAAAAAACTAAAATTGGAATATTCATTTAGTTTAAAAGTAATTTTAACACTAACTAAATTTACCAGTAATGTCAAAGTTTTTTACTTCTTTTTTAATCAATTTAATCTTGCTCTAATTCAGATTGTGGAGTTGCGGCCCATCGGACTTGCTCGGCCACAGGTTTTGGTCCCTGCAGCCCCAAAGGTCCTGCTCCGCCCCAAACCGTGTTCGGCACTCCCCTCTGCGCTCAGCTGACTGACCTGCCAGCGCCCCTTTTGGTCATCAAGTGCATCCAGCACCTCGAGTCCAAGGCAAGTCAGGACCCAGGCCTTGATCTTTACAAAGTCTACCGGACCACAGCTCCCGCCAACGTTATTGCAGAATTGCGGCGGAAACTCAATGAAGGTATTTGTTGGAAAAACGTAGAAATTTCAGTCATCACTAACGTAAATCTTCATACAGATGTGGCCAGCACGGACCTAAGTGAATATGAACCGGCGGTAATCGCAAGCATTCTCAAAAAGTTCCTTCGTGAACTGCCGGACCCCGTGATACCCGTGCAGTGGTACGACAAATTCATAGAAGCATCAAGTAAGTAGAAATTTAATTTTTATTATATAATTTTAATTCTTTTCCCTTGAATTGGGATTCATTGCGGTTGATTCATTTAATAAATTTAGTTAAAAGTAATTATTTATAAAAACTTCTTAAATTGTATAATTGAATAAACTAAATGATTTTTCATTAAATTTCAGAAATTAAATTAGATGAGCAGTGCACAAATCGGCTGAACCAGCTGGTGGACGAGTTGCCTGAGCAGCACCGATCGACCCTCACGGTCCTGCTGCGCCACTTCTGTCGTCTCTGCCAGATGCAACATGCCCGAGGGGTGCGAGAACCCCCGACCATCCTTGTGCAGGTCCTCTGCCACCTTTTCCTGCGCCCACCCTGGACTCGCATCATGCAAGTCGTCTACAACACCGAGGCCCACATTCGAATAATGGAGCTGCTTCTTCTGCAAGGCCGCTGGGGTGAGCCCCTTCCTCAGTTTGCTTCGGCCCCCCTTCTGCCCCCTCGAAAACCGTCTCGACTTGAGGTGTCTGCGGAGACGGCCCTGCTTGAGTGCGATTGGTACTGGGGCGAGGTCACCCGGGAGGAGGTCAACGAGAAAATGCAAAACACTCCGGATGGCACTTTCATGGTTCGAGACGCTTCAAGCAAGAGCGGCGAGTACACTTTGACCCTGAGAAAGGGCGGTGACAACAAACTAATCAAGATCTGCTATCGAAACGGCAAATTCGGCTTCACGGAGCCCTTCCGATTCAACTCTGTTGTCGAGTTGGTCAACTTCTACAAAAACCAGTCACTTGGGCAGTACAATTCAACTCTGGACATCAGACTGATCTACCCGCTGTCCAAGTTCCAGCAGGAGGACGAGGTCATCTCGTCGGACCTGGAAAAGGTCAGTGGCCAGTTGTTGGACGCCCACCGCGACCTGGAGGCCAAGATGCGGATGGAAGACGAGCTGAGGTACAAGGTCAACAAGACCATGAATGAGATCAGCATGAAGAGGCAAGCTCTGGATGCGTTCGACGAGGCCATCGCCATGTTCAAAGACCAGATGAACATGCACGAAAACTTCAAGTCCAAAGCGCAGCCGCACGAGCTGGAGATGCTCAGGGCCAACCACGCCATGCTGCTAGACAGGCTGGGTCAACTCGAGGACAGCCGATCCCACCTGGACAAGAGTCTCAAGCAGAAAGTCACCGATAGTAGGACTCTTGAGAGGGACGCCAACAACCTCAAATCTGAAATGCGCAACTTGAAGAAAACCAAAGATGCTTGCATCAGGTCAGTATTTTTCTAAATTAATTCAATTTACGCAAGTTCAACCTGTTACTGAATTTCTGATTGTCTGCAGGTGGTTGATGCACCAAGGAATGAAGCCCTCCAGGATTGAAGTTCTGCTGCAGCAACAGGAGGCTTCGGACAGTGAGATGGACGTAGACAGCCTTCCGCACCAGAACGAGGCCAACTGGCTGCTGATGGACTGCACTCGCAACAGGGCACAAGAGCTCCTAACAAACACCGCAGACGGCACTTTCCTAGTCCGGCCCAGTCGCATCCAAGACCAGTACGCCCTGTCCATAATGTAAGTTTCAGAAATGAATAAGTTTAAGTCAAATCTTTGCTTATAGTGGTGCAATTTTTTCCAACAATTTCTTTTCTTTAAACAAATTCTTCTGAATAATTAACTAGAACTTTTTTTTTAATTTAAAATTTATTTTAAAAAATGCTCTTACTCTTCCCTTTTTTAAATTTTTAATATTATTTTATAATTAATTTACACACTACATATCGAGGTTAATTTAAACAATATGATTGACATAATTTTCACAAATAAACAACAAAATTAATGATTGTGTTTCAGGTGCAACGGCCAAGTGAACCACTGCATCATACACCAGACAGACCGAGGGTTTGGATTCGCCGAGCCGTACAACATCTACAACTCGCTGAAGGAGTTGGTGCTGCACTACGCGCAGAACTCGCTGGAGGAGCACAATGACTCACTGAACACCACCCTGGTGTATCCGGTGATGGCACATTCCTTGCCAGCGCTGTGATAAGCCCCTCGAGCAGTATTCGCCTCCCACAAAACTACTCTCTACTCGATAAGAAAGTATAAATTGAAAGAACTCTTGCACCGACGCGAGACTCCGCCTTGTGATGATGATCTGACCGCGACGAAAATTACTTCTGTCAGCACGGGCTATGGCACTATCATCCCCTCTCACCCCCCATTTTACACAAACACGAAGAGAAGAAAACAAACAGTCGTTTCACAACCACCTTTCCAATTTTCTGAACATATTTAATGTTGATGTGTCCATTTTCTCATTGAAAATTCTCGGCAGCTGGGCTTTTTAGAGAGCACTTTTTTCTGTTTTTTACACATTTCTTATGTATCTCGATATATTTCGAGAGAATTTTATTATATATATATTTGCGTTTTTTTTTTTTTAATTTACCGAGCGGCGGGCCTGGTCAAAAGTGATACTTTTTTTACTATGCAAACGCTTCTTTCTCAAGATCAATTGGACAATAAGATTAATTGGAAAGAAGTTCTTTTTTATCTAAGGTTACTAAATGAAGTCAAAAGAAGCTTTATGTGACTAAATTTGCCCAGCACCCGCCCGGCTCTTGCCATTTTACCTGCCGGTTGCCACTTTGGATAGCCCTCTCAATGCATTCGCACTTGTTTTGTAGCGACACAAGCGCCAGGGCCACACTCGACAAAAGCGAGCCAGCCCCAAAAACGTGTGTCTAGACCAATCTAACTAAACTTGGCAACCAATCGAAAAAAGCTCTCGAATCAAGCCAGCTGCTCCGATAACGTTTTGTATAGGAAAAAAATAAAATAAATAACTGTTTCTCAATTCTGGGAAGAGAAAAATCTCCGTTCTTTGTTACGGACAAACCGATTTTTGTGGTAAAAAAACGAAGAGTACACTAATTCTTATCATCGAGTTGCTTAGCGAAGAAGCAGCATCAACAACAACAAAAAAACACGTCAAAGAGTGTGATCGTTCCAAAAATTCAATTGGAGCCCAGAACACTAATTTTTTCTAAACAATTGTACAAAAATCAGGAAGAGAAAAACGACGAATTGATGTCACTGCAAACAGCGATATAATTATTGTATTAAATCAATCGGTTGATTTTCCGCATCAAATGCACCAGCGCAGACAAAGCAAAATATATGTATATCAGTTGTTAATCGATTCGACTCTTGACAAAAATTACAAACACACACACGATATCCAATTATCATTGTAATGATTGTAACTGAGATGTGAGAATTTAACGATAGACCTGCTAATACAAATTTGCGAGTCAGAGCCGGGCCATGAGATGGCCCGGCTGGCCGCTTTTCACCCCTTGCCCTTGATAACCGTCTGGGAAAAAATTAGATTTTCACTCAACTCACTCACACACAAACACCCCTCACTTAACTAAAAAAATTGAAGTTCACACTCACTTGAATATTTCTATTATTCAATAATCAAAAAGGACAAAAAAAACTTGTATCGTGAATGTGATCCGCCAGTTAGCACAATTTTTAAGAAAATATCGCCTCTTCGTCGGAAAATAAAATACTTGGTGAAATTCTCTCCCTCGTAGTTTGTAATGGAGCAAAACAAGAAATGATGATGATACTTTAAGATTAAGCGAAAACAAAGTAACTTTAATGAAGAGATTTATTTTGTAGTGGTCGTGCATGAGAAGTGGAGAATTTGCGAGTGCGAACGTGGACGAGAGCAGCTAGACTGTCTTGAGTGTGAAAAACAAAAACATTTAGTGATTCGTACGTATGTTCACGGGACGGCGGTGCTTTGGACGCACTTTTCGAGCGGACTCGAACTCCGTCGTCTTTTTCGTTTGGCCGGGGCTGCCCCTTTTTACCAGGCACGCCACTGCAAAGTCCGGCTCTGTATTTGTATCATTTGTAATAAAGCCACAGATTATTATATACCAAACGAAATTATGCACCTGTTTTTCTTTAAATTAAAAACCATCGCTCTAAAATAAAATATTAATTTTAAATTTAAAATTACTGCAGCCTTTTGTATCTTATTATTGATCTATTGAGTACAAAAAATAAGCAAGGAAGAGATTTAAAAGAAAATTTATTATTACGAAAAATTGTCTGAAAAATAAAAAATAAAATAAATTTATTTTGTGCAAAAATTATACTGCATGACATTGAGCTCTTTATCATTGGCAATGGAGCTTTTAACTCGCAACTCCTCTGTTATTGCAAATAGTGGCGCCACCATCGTCTACACAAGTGCAATGGGGGTGTGGTATTTGCAAATCAGGGTGGTACGTAAAGGAGCTAGACTCTAAATCACAATTACATCAATTATTTATCTTGTACACTAGATTTTATTTATTAAATCTATATAGATTTCAATATAAAAGTCTGCCTCAAATTTATTGATCTTATTTTTTAGAAGAATTCGGGATTATCTTGGTTTTCATAGACTTCTTCTCATTAAAGATTCATTCAAGGTTACGGATTGCAAAATTTATTTATTTTGTAACTCTATATCATTTGAATGTGCATTAAAATTTGCATAATATTTTTGAAGAAAAATTTTTTCTTAAAATTTATCAAAGCTCGTCAGTTGGAAAGTTTTTTGTCACTTTGGGTAAAGTACTTTGTAGGAAGAATGCCACTTCCTCTCGAAACTCCACCGGCTCACGTCAGAATCTTGGCACTCAAAATTCGACCCGTCAGCGAGAGAAGAGTCAAAACGTATAGAGAGTTTCGACTTTTCGCAGATGCAGCCAACGAAATTTGCCTTCATTTTCCAAGATTGACCAACTGGCAGTACACATTTTCACAAGAAGACGCCAAAATCGGTAAAAATCCTAATTTTCAAAGCAAAAAACGCATCGCCAATTTTCTTTCGAGGCAATTTTGCATTTTTCCTTAACTAAGACCGGTTTTTATAACGCGCCAACGCATCCAAAGGAACCTCCAAAATATTGCAAAAATAAATTTTTTTAATTTGATAAATCTCACAAAAATTCCATATTACAATTGTCGTGCGAAATGTAATTTCCGCTTGATTTTTTCCAGCCGAATGTGCACCAACGAGTGAAATGTTGATGAACACCGAGGGTAAAGCCAAGTAGAAATTTTTACTAATCGTGCACCCTGGTGAGTTTCGAAGCACCAAGACTGCTTATTACTAACCCAAGCACGCTTAATTTCCTCAACGTTTAAGTAATTTTTTTGGAAATTTACAGTAGCAGAAGTGCATTCAAGGAGGATGTCAAATTCATGGCCAGGGGGCACGACGGCCAGCGAGCAGGCCATCAAATTGCTGCAGCAGCTTGAGAACGACTTGAGAAATTTGTCAATTGAACTTAAGAAGAAATATCCCAATCCACGAGAGGTACCTGACATTTTTATGCACTCTTCATTATCTCAAAATATTTTACGCAAAATTCTCAATGAATTCTACGCACAAAAATATAATTCATATTAAACAGAAAATTATTCTTTTGAGTTAACATATTTCTGTTCAATTGATTAATAATATTTCACTCCTTATAGTTTTTTTTCCTCAATTAATTTATCATCGGAAATGTGAATCAGTTTACATTTTACAAGAAGAAATAGTTTTACATCTTGTTAAACTTTTTGATTTCTTATTATACTTCTTTGTAGATTTCATGTGGAGAATCGTCTTCTACATTCCTCTTTCTTTTCCAGTCCTGCGAGGAGGGAATCGTGAAGCTTCGCAATGCAATGTCCAATCCGCAGACACCGGTGACCTACGTGGTCAACCAGATAATTTTCCCCGTGCAAGAGGCATGCAAGACCAAGGACCCGCGAATTGTGCGTCTGGGCGTCGGCGTCATCCAGAGACTGGTGACCCAGCAGGTCGTCGACCTCAAGTGCGCCGCCCACATTACAGACACCCTTTGGGGACTGATGGAGGCGGGGGTGGAGGAGGTCAAGGTGTTGCAAACGGTCACTCTATTGCTCACAACAAACTCTGTCGTTCACGGAGACACTCTAGCCCGGGTAATTTTTAGATTTCATAGTCTTAGAAATTTAATTATAATTATTTTACTCAAAGATTAAAGTGAAGTAGAAAAAAATTAATCACAATTTATTTCATTTTGAAAATGTAAATTTAAAATAAATTTTTTTAGAATAAATGACAAATTAAAATCAATTTCACTGTGTAATTTTTCCTATAATACTGAGGATGTAAGAAAAAAATTGATATATATTTTTAAAATATTTCAGAATTTGGTCCTTTGTTTCCGGCTGCATTTTGCAAAAGACTCGACCACAATCAACACAGCTGGAGCAACAGTTCGGCAGTTGATTTCACTTGTGTTTGAACGAGTGGTCGCTGAAGACAACGAATTTAAACCTGTGGCCAATCAGCAGGCCAACATTGAAGAGCTCAAAGTTCTCAGCAGCTCGCCACCAAAGGGGTTGAGGCCTTGTGCTGCTGACGCCTATTTGATGTTCCAGGTCAGCACCAGATTCCTCATTAATTTGCAAAAATTAAAGTTGAAAATTTTTAGGATCTCGTCCAGCTTGTGAATGCAGATCAGCCTTATTGGTTGATTGGCATGACTGAAATGACCCGGACCTTCGGTCTTGAACTCCTCGAATCGGTTCTTTTCCAGTATTCATCTGTATTTTTTGACGTAATATTTTGGAATAAATTGTCCCAGATTTGTGTTTAATTTGCAAATTCTAACTTCAGCACCATGAATTCAGTTTTCTGCTGAAGGAAAGAGTTTGCGCTTTGGTGATCAAACTCTTCTCGCCCAACATCAAATACCGAAACTCTGTTCCTGCAAGTGTACAACAGGCGTCGTCCCTCGACAAGCCGTACTTTCCAATCAGCATGAGGTTGCTCAGGGTCGTTTCAATCCTAATTCAAAAGTATCACTGCTTATTGGTGAGTGAACTAAAATTTGTATCTTACAATTATTATTTTTTTTTTGTTTTTTAATTTTTTTAAATGGAACCTTTAATTTATAATTAGAAAAAGCTTAAATTTGATTTGTTTGAAAATAATTTTAATTAAAAAATAAATAATTAATTAAATTTTCTAAACTAGGTGACTGAATGTGAGATTTTCCTTTCGCTGATCGTCAAATTCCTGGACCCGGACAAGCCGTGTTGGCAACGCTCGCTGGCTCTAGAAGTTCTGCACAAGCTTTGCATCCAGCCAGTGCTGCTCGAGTCCTTCTGCGAGTGCTACGACCTTAAGGCACATGCCACCAAAATCTTCAGGGACATTGTCAACTCTCTAGGGGCCTTCGTGCAGTCCCTCTTCGTCCACCCGCAGCTCAACCCGGCACCAAAAACGGCTCTCGAGCAGTCGCCTGCACTTTTAGCAGGGATGCCTGTTGGCCCGGGAGTCACTCCGCAGCCAGGATTTTACCTCAGAGGCGTTTGGCTTCCTCTGGCAGCCACTTTTGTCCCTGGCCAGGCCAAATCCTCCTAGTAAGTTTAAAAAAAAAATTCGATTATTATAATATTATTTTATGTTAATTGTTTATTCTTTAAAAATTAGGGTAAAAAATAGGAAAAAAGAATGAGAAATATAAAATATTTCAACTGTTATATTTCAAAAGTAAAATTACACTATTAATTTTATTTTTCTTATAAATGTTTATAGTTTTTATTTATCCAAAATGAAACTCAATTTTGTATGGAAAATTAAAATTAATTTTCCATAAGCAACCCCAGAACAATTCTTAATTTATTGTTTTTTAAATCTTCACTTTAATCTTTATTTAAGTTACATTAAATTAACTATATATTTAATTTTTTAAATTGTTCTTATGTATTTCAGTTTAGAAATGTTGGACCGAATTGAGCCACCGAGCATTCCTGAGGGCTACGGCATCTCTGTTGCTTATGCTGCCCTTCTCGATACAATCCGTTCCATATCCTTGGCCATCAACGGACCGTCAAAGGTCGAGAACAGTGACGAAGATAAGCAGCCAGGCACTGAAGAGGTGACCAAAAACAAGGCTGTGCATGCCCAGTTGGTCAATTCGAGTTGGTGTGGCCTCTTGGCAGCTCTTAGTCCTCTTCTAGAAGCAAGGTGGGTTGACCGAAAATAATAATTGGATTAGAAAAGTAAAAAAATTGTTTGTCTGCAGTACGGACGAGATCATCATGGAGAATGTCTTGCAGTCGATGCAGACGTTCAGCAGCTTGTGTGGCCAGCTGGAAATTAATACTGCCAGGGACGCTTTCATCACTGCAATTTGCAAGGCGTCACTTCCACCGCACTATGCTCTGAGCATGCTGAACATCATAACACCCTCTTTAAATAGAAGTATGGGAACTTAATTTTAAAATTTTAGTATGATGATTTGTAAAAGAAGAAATTTAATTAGAAAAAAATTTATTATTTTCAAATTTTGGGGAAACATTCAATAAATTAAGCATTTTTATTCCCCTTTGGTTTTTTAGTGCTTTATTAACAATTCATTTAAATTAAAAGTGATTCAACTTTTAGGTCATGGTCATGATGGGCACGATTCAATGCAATACAACCTGAATGCCTTTGGAGAAAATGACTTCCGGCAGCAAGTGGTTGCCGTCGGCACCCCTTTACCTTCAGTTTCGTGGCCCGCAGGGGCGCAGCAAGGCCCAGTTATGCTCACCTCGAAAAACCTTCAGTGCATGAGGGCCCTGCTGAGTTTAGCCCATTGTCACGGCTCCATCCTCGGCTCTTCGTGGTATCTGATTCTGACCACCCTCCAGGTTCGTTTTATTTATTTAAAAAAAAGTTTCATAATAATAAAACTGTTTTGAGCAGCACCTAGTGTGGATTTTGGGACTGAAACCATCAACCGGAGGCAGTTTGAAGGCAGGTCGAAGTACGACAGATTCAAACGCTGTCATAACCACGGCTGTAATGGCCGACTTGCCGGTTCTTTCGGCCATGCTGAGCAGATTATTCGAGTCGAGTCAGTATTTGGATGAGGTTGCACTTCATCATCTAGTTGACGCTCTGTGCAAACTGTCCAGAGAAGCTATGGAACTTGCCTACTCTAACAGGGTAAAATTTTATTAAATTTTAGGTTCGGGCCCTCAATTTATTTAGCGTATATTTTTTTTAATATGAAATTATTTAATATTTTTATCTCTCTCCAAATAATTTATACATTGTGGAGCATTATTTTAATATAAATTTAAAAGTAGTAATTGGCAACAACAAAACACATGAATTTCATGAGTTTTTTAAATAATTTCTGCCAATTTTACATACATTTAATTAATTTAAATGATATAATCATTCAATTCATTTTTGTGAAAGATTAATTTTCTCGTGATTTCAGGAGCCTTCACTTTTTGCTGTGGCCAAACTGCTTGAAACGGGGTTGGTGAATCTGCCCAGGGTGGAGGTTTTGTGGCGGCCGTTGACAAACCACCTGCTCGAAGTTTGCCACCACCCTCACATCAGAATGAGGGAATGGGGGGTGGAGGCGGTCACTTACTTAGTAAAGGCTGCTCTCCAACACAAATACAAACCTCCTTTGAAGGACAATAAGGTAACTTGATTCAGTGATGCAAAACTAGGATTTTTAATAATTTTTGTTTTTAGAAACTACAAACATTACTGTTGAGCCCTTTGGCCGAACTTTCTGCTGTTCCACACACACATAGTGATGTTAGACAAAAACAACTGGAATGCGTTTTGCAAGTAATTATTTTTAATAAAATTTGAAAGAACAATAATATTCTTGTCTGCTTTGAATTTTAGATTTTGCACAGTTCTGGTGAGATTTTGTCTCATGGTTGGCCTCTAGTCTTGGGAATCATTGGTGCTGTCAACGATCAGCAAGGGTGAGAAAAAATTATAGTTGATAACATAATTTCATTATTCAGAAACAAAAAACTATTTTTAAATTAAAAGTTCAAGGTTTTTTATTCAATTTTATATTTTTTTTCCAGGGAAGTCTTGATCAGACTAGCATTCCAGTGCCTGCAGCTGGTAATTACTGACTTTCTACCAGTAATGCCGTGGCGTTGTTTGCCGCTCTGTGTCGATACGGCCGTCAAATTCGGCTTCCAGATGCAAGAGCTTAACATTTCCCTAACAGCTGTCGGATTGATGGTGCGAATATTAATTTGACCCACATGTGATGAATGTTTTAACCCGGTGTGTACTTTGCAGTGGAACATTTCTGATTACTTTTATCAGAATCAAGACAAGCTCTCCAACTCTCTGAACGGTGAGGAGGCTATTTTCCCCGACTTTCCCGGAACACCAAACATGCCTCCCTTCGACAAACTGTGGATGTGCCTCTATGCAAGACTAGGTATCTTTTGAAATATAGATTTCTAAAAAAAAGCTTCAATTTTTTTCATCAAGGTGATCTCTGCGTCGACACTCGGCCGTCGGTCAGAAAATCAGCAGGGCAGACTCTTTTCTCAACTCTCAGTGCCCACGGCGTCCTCTTGAGACAGCCGACCTTACACGCTGTTCTCTGGCAAGTGCTGTTTCCCTTGCTTGATAAGGTTCGAAGTCTGTCCAGCTCAGCCAGCAGTGAAAAAGTGGACCCTGGTGGCAATATTTTGATACACCACACGAGAAACACTGCTCAAAAGCAGTGGGCAGAAACTCAAGTAAAATTCATATTCAATGTGAAACTTTTAAAATTAAAAATTTATTTAATTTCAGGTGATGACACTTTCGAACGTTGTTAGGGTTTTTAATTCCAAACGGCAGCTTTTGCAATCAGCTGGTGATTTTTCCGACGCCTGGTCACTTTTACTAGGATTTGTGGAGTATTCGTCGTTGAATAAAAATAATGAGGTAAATTTTAATTTAAGATAAAATTTTTTTTTATTTTCATACAACTGTAGTAATTGTAAAATAATTCTTTTCTTGCATTACAAATAAATCAATAAATTTTGCTTGGAAAATTTTCTGAGAATCATAAAATAGGACATTTTCTACTCTTGATTTTTGATTGAAATTTGTAGTTTTTTTCTATAACTATTTGGTGCAATTTTTTTCAAAAATATATCTTTTATTTTGCAAGGTTTCCCTCTCGGGTTTGAAGTGTCTTCAAGAAATGTTGTACCAAGGCAAAGGCCTGGACGACACTGCAGCTGAAGATCCACCAACCCAGTGGGGTCCTTTGTGGGCCGCAGCCTGGACGACCTGGCTCCGAATCGGTGAGGAAAGCACTGTCCCACCTTCCGAAAATGAAGAGGAGGTCTACGTACCCACCCAGGCATTCCTGGCAGCCCTGGTGCAAACTTTGCCGGCCCTTTTGCCACACGCTGGGCTTGAATCGCGGCAACAGGGTCAGTTGGCCCGGCTGCTGAAGGTCCTGCACCAGGCCGTGGCTGTGCCCTCGCAAGAGTATCCACCTTTTCAAATGCTGGCCAACGATTCGGCATTGTCGCCATTGCAGGACGCGGTCATCAGCACCCTCGTCACTCTGCAAAATGTTAGCATTTATTTTCATATGGTTAAAATCTAATCTGAGAAGTTTATTGATTTTCTTTTAGGAGGCGTTGATTGACAAGGAGCACATGGAGAACATGCTGCCAGAAATTTTTGAGCAGTTGCTGGCGTTTGTCAAATTTTCCTGTGTTGCTCCACAATATGGAAATTTGCAGCTCAAATCAAACTGTCAAATGGGAGTAAGTTGAATAATTATCTTTTTCAAATCTAAAACATTTAAAAATAAGAATAGAATAGTGAGGAGAAATCAAAATTTAACTATTTTTACTTACAACTTTTTTAATGTCTTTTACAAATAAATTCTTGTTTGATAATTAACTTTTTGTGCATGATATGAAATTTATAAGACCTCTTTTAGCATATCCATGGTGCTAATTTTCAGCCTGAATGGGGTGCAGTGAATTACGTGCCCTTTGGTGAGAAGTGTTTGAGTATGGCAGTGAAGCTTTTCCTGAAAACCGCCGAGGAGGAGACGATAATAAAAAACCAGATCCTTCAAAAAATTCTAGAGGTTACTATCAATCATTTACTCTCTATTCATGAGTTACATTTTAAATATAAAATCTTACATTAAATCACAAATCGATACAACAAAAAAATTGAATACAAATTTTTTTTTATGGTTTTTAACAATAAAAATTAATATTTCAGTCCCTGAGGGTGCCTTTGTCAATGAAGTATTCTTGCCCTTCGCAAACCACTTGGAAGGCAGCAATCACCAAACTCCTCGGAGTCCTTCATGTCGGTCTGCCCATTGCAAGGAGAAGGAGCGAACACCACAAATCCATGTGGCCCGTGTTGGCAGACACACTTGACTTATTCCTCTTTCCTAAAGGGTAAGTTTAACTTTGAATTATATTTTGTACAATAACTCATTTGAACAAAAACATGACAAATTTCTTCAAATCAAGTAAGACGGACAAGCAGGTTGTTTTGAATTTAAAAACTGACCCAAAATTTTAGTGCACCTCCGCCGAGCAGAGGATTGGAGGAAATTGAAACGGACGAGGCAGTCGACTGCCAAGTGATAGAGCAGCTTCGAGATGAGGTGCTTCCTCATGCCCATTCCATTCCTAAAGAGTTCATCCTTAAAGTGGTTGTGCTCTTGAACAAAGGCTCCATACACTCGGCAACACATACCTCATCAACAGGTGAGAAAATAATTATAAAAATTATCATTAAATAAATTTGAAAAAAAAAACAGACTATGATTGTGAGAGAAAGCTGCGAGAGGAGTTTGCCAAAATTTGCTTTGAGACGCTTCTGCAGTTTTCATTGTTGGACAACAATGACCTGGGCACCAAAGAGGAAGGTGTGGCAGGTCGACTGGCAGTTACGGCTTTACTGCTTCGCTTCCAGGATGTGCTCAAGCAGTACGTCGAAGAGGAACGGAGTTCAGGACAGTGTCCATTGCCTCGGTAAGATAATTTTTCAATTAACAAAAATTGAATTCGTTTAGTCTGCTTTATGTAAATAATTGTAATTTAAACAAATGTCACATTCTATGTAAGTACGCTTGTTAGGTGAGATATTTCTAAATTGGGGCATGTATTTGAGTGCAGTTACAGATTGGCTGAAGTTTCGTTTGTGCTAAAAGCTGTTGCCACATTGGTCATGTCCCTCAAAAAAGCACCTCCGGGGAAAGGTAAATGTATTAATTTTTAATATATTTTGCTCATTTCTGATTTAATTTAAAAATATAGTGGACAAAAGCGCCTGGGAGCATCTTATCGGGCTGTACCCCTACTTGGTCAACTGTACATCCGCATCGTCCTCGCCGAGCGTACTTTTGTCTCTGCGCGAGGCCCTCCTGCAATTCACCGACCTCATCCAGCCTCCATCAATGCACTGAACTTCGGCAATTTAAGTGTAAAAGTCACCACACAATTGTTTTTTGTGATCGACCATAATCGTTGCAGAATTTATTTGTAAGAACAAGTGATGGATTTAAAAACAAAATAACTCTATCGCTAAATTCCACTTTTCTAGCTTTAAAAAAAAATGTGCGATACTTATTTTTCTGTTGAACTCTTTAAGCGCCTGCAATTGTTTTAAATGTGCGAGAAGTATTTGTTAAATTTCTTTTTTAAATGTTTTGCCTCATTATTTGTTTTGCATCTGCCAAATAAATATTTAGAAACAAGTTTTCTATCACGTCATTACAATTAAAAGATTGTTTTAAACGCCAAGGTATTTGTTGAAAAATATCACAATATTCTTGTAGAGCTGGTTCTTGCTCAATATCTTTTAAATTGACTTGACATTTAACTACAACCGCAGAGGAGATATTTCTGATCAAACTTGCATGTTTGTTTCTTTGACAAGCAATGGCGGGGCACCCTTGTACCAAGCCTCGGTGGTTTCACGGACTCAAACACAAATAATAACCAACCACAAACAGCACTAAAGTTACACCTTGTTCCGATTTTATTTTTAGAATTTATTTAATGTATGATTAAAAAAAGGAATTTCATAAATTTTAGCTTCAAAACTTCTCCTTAATTTATTAAAATTCCTTTTTTTTAAATCATTACTTTTAACTTCACTTTCAAACTTTGAGGTAAAAAATTAATAATTAATTGATTTTATTTTCATAAACTTCCTTTAAATTCCCGAATTTTCAATATGATAGGCAAAATTCGAGAGGGAAAGTGACTCCTTTACTAAACATTCGGGTTACGCAAACGCGCACTGGTTTGCTTATGTGTGAAAGGAAGGGTTGCGAGAGCGAATTAATCACACGCGGCGCCCGAATCACCGTGACTCATTCTGGATGCGCGGGGAGGGGCACCAGAGGGCGGCGGGGGTGGCTGCAGATGAGGCGCAGTGGGCCCCCGACGGCCGCCAAGGACGCAGCTCAACAGGTAACGCGCGCTGCACTTTCAATTTCTATTGACTTTTCAATTTTTCCAATAAATATTATTTTACTCAGAATAATTACTACAGATTCATTTTTCAGTTCTTTTTTATACTTTCTCTGGAGAAAACGAAATTTAATATTCAATTAAAATTCCAATTGTTTTTGCTTTTTCATTATTATTTTCATATATTACTAATTAATACAAAAAGTTTCTTTTTTTGTGAAAAAAAAATTGTATTCATATACAGATTCAGATATATACACAGTTGAAATTCATTTTGAATTGCAAACGGATGGAATTGGTTTTTTATCTTTTCAATTTTGCTGTAAAAATTAATCTTTTTGGATAATTTTTACAATTTTTATATTTAAAAAATTTTAAAATTTCATTTATTATTTTTTGCAGTAAAAATTTAATCAATTTATTCTGAAAATCGTGATTCGGCAAATTAAGAGAGTGGATTTGGAGAGTTGGAGCGGACGATAATGATCTTGCTAAAAATATAAACGTGCGTCCCGGCACTTTCGGTGTCTGACAGCGCTCGGCGACTTTGAGGCATTCCAAGAGAGAATACATTTTTCTGAATCAGACCCAGAACTAATTTTAGCCCTCGGGAACACACACGCTATAGGAACAGAGTTTGAGAGAGCGGTTTGCTTGACGGTTAACACGCAGAATGACGAGGGTCCGCGCGGGGACAAACACGCTCACAGATCACCCAGTTTTAATGATACAGAGGCGCCTCATCTGGATGACCGCAAACTCTCGCTCTTTCGCGCGGCCCATTACGCGATTTCTGCATCTGTCCACCATCAACCGTCAAGTAAAAAGGAAAGGAAGAGAGGAGGCTTTGAACTTTTCTCTGACCGCGACTTGAAAGAGTTGAAAGAGCAGAGCAATTTTAATCGTCTAATCTGTCAGCAAATTATTAAATGGTCAGATTATGACAAACGATCATCATATTTTTGAAAAAGCCAAACATAAGAAATAAATTTACTTCAGATTATTTTTTATTTTTCAAAATAATCAATAAAATAATTCAAATGATGTATTTTAGTTGCTAAAGAAATACTTCACTTTAAATTACCCTTTTAATCATAAGGAGAATAAATTTTTCTATAAATTTATTAATTATTTTTAGTTAATTAATTAATAAAAAAAAACATAAAGTGTTCCTCTGAAGTTAACACAAAGACTCAAAATTTAAAATTTTTTAAAAGCAAAATCAATTAAAAATATTATTAAAACTTTTGTCATTAAAATCTCAGATATTTTCACGTTATAACTTTGCAAACCCCTTTTTATTTCACAATTAAATAAGCGTGACTTTATTTCTATGATGTCCAAAAGGACGACAAGAAACTAATTTGAAGAGTCTAAACGGAATCTTTTTACCCAAAATCGATCTTTCCCTTATTCCCACCTAATTTGTAATTTCTTTGTAAATTATCTAGAAATAAAATATTAAATTAATGAAATAACACAAAATTTCCTATCAATTTTATTTTTTTCTTAATAATATTTTTGTAAATTTTTTCCTTTTGTGTAATTCCAGTAGCACCATGGCTTACACGTTGGGCCATCCCCGCGTCGCCCCTTTCAAACCACAGGTCGCCACCAATGAGGCCCTTGCCAACCACACCAAAATTTTGGCCAACGGAGCCGTTGGGTGAGTCACTATTAATTAAACACAAAGCTCAAAACGAAATAATTATAATCCTCTCAAGTTTGATTTCTGCGAGAGTTATTTAGTTATTTTCATCCTGGCTGTTTACACTTCAGGCCGGCTAATTCAATTCATTCATTTTATTTTTGGCCCGAATGCGTTCGCAGAACGACATCGCTTTAAAAATTGGTCTCGCCGTCGTTTCCCAGAATAAAGAACCTTTTATTTTTCACCGACGTTGATTTATTTCAGCATAGATGAAAAGAATAATAATTTATTTATTTGCTCAACCCTCTCTTGAGCGCAGAATTGAGAAACTTTTAACTTTTCTGTGTCTTAACAAAAGAAGTTGCCCAATTTTCGCGGAAATTTTCGAGCAGCCCTCTCGTGAAAATTGTGAGTCACAAGTGCAGCAGTGCCTGCCAAAATTGTGGGCGCAAAAATGTGAGCAAAGGCCAAATATTTATCACTGGCGGGCAAACCCCGAAATAGAATCAAAATTTATTATTCGGCCGAGCACGTCGGCCGCTTTTTCACTCTTTTCTGCACACACAGGCCCATTTTTCATTCGCTCGTCGCTGGACGCGCCCAGAAAGAGTTAATCATGTCTGCGAAATGATGCAATTTTAACTAGATTCGTTACAAACCCACAAAGTTGTGAGAGCCGGGCAGATTTCTTGGCTGCCGCACCTGCGTTTTAATAAAATCTCACTCAAAACGACACGTTCCAGCTTTTGGTGTTTGTGAAAGTAAAAAATTTAACCGAGTGGTTTGAAAATTTATTAAATATTTGAAAAATGGTGTGTTTGAAGAAGTTTTATTAAAATTGACAAATTAATTACGCTTAAACTTTCTCTAGAATTTGGAGAGGAGTCAATTAGAAAAAAAAAAATATAAAAAAATATTTCATTTTAAAATAACTTTAAATGTTTACGTTTTTTAATTGAGGTAAAGAATTACTATGAGATTTTAATTGTTGAAATCACGATCAGGGCGTTGCGGTTTGCCGATGTCAAGAAATTTCTTCACACTAAGTAAGCCGATTTAATATTTGATAAACAAAATTCTACTACACCTAATTTTTCAAATTTTAAATTATTTTGTTATATTTCCATTGATAATTCCCTGTAATAAATTATAAAAGTTACTCAATATTTCCCATGAAGCTCTCAAAATGTTTTTCTCTTGCTTGTTGATATTCTATAATTATGTAATTATTGAAGGCAGAAGAATTAACATATTAATGCAAAAACGGCATTTCAAAACGGACTTGATTACAAATTACAACCAATGTAAATGAGGAATCATATAAAAATTCCTGATTTTATTTTGTATATTTTTTTCTATAAAAAGCTATAGCTCCATTTAACGATAAAATAACAGCGAATTCACAAAACAAATTGGAATTTGCAAGTCCTCTTTTATAAACACGTATTAAAGCCATGTTGAATCTGCTGAATTGCAACCTAAAAATTTTGACGCGAATTGCGTGAAGCGGACCCAAAATAGACCTATTGCACAAGAGAGGCGTCTTTTGGCGGAGAGGCTGAGTAAATAAATTGAAACAATTGTTAGGTGGAAGAAGCGTCTAGAGCGCGTGGCAGCTTAGAAAAGCGAGTCACTGACTGACCACGATGATTTTTAGCCGCTGACTCAGCCGCGCTTAATTTCCAAGCCTTTGCTGCCGCGCGAACGAGATCAACCCCAACAATTATTATTCACTTTTAAATTTAAACCTTTCGCAAGAGGGCGACGTGATTTAGTTTATTGCGGCAATAAATCTCTGCAACGAGCCTTGCGCTGGAAAATAAATAATTTCCGAATACCCAGCCGAAGGTGTACGCGACGCTTCATTTCAGCACTTTCGAAACCTGCGGAATTACCCGCGCAATTAAACCGCTTAGTTGATTAATTTGGACGTGCAGGGGCGGGCAGTCGGCCAGAAATCGACCGGCTGACGAATCGTCCGCGTCGCCCCCTCACGCGGACTATCAATCTCGGCACGATTTGTTTGTTGTCTCAAAACCGTGTCCGACAAAAGAAAGCGAAATGCTGGCCAGAGGGCGGCAAATCATAACAAATTTCCTTTTACGAAAGACGTGAAGTTGAAATTTTTGGTAAATACAAAATCCGGAATAATTTTAAATTTAAAAAACGAATAAATAAATAAATTAAAGGTTAATTGCCTTTTCCTCTTTGGGTTTCTTGACTCGTTAATTTTTATCTGTGGAACAACAAAAGTTTCAAATCTAAAATTAAAGAAAGGATTACTTTGAATACTGGAATTATGTCATAAAAATGAATAAGATGTTTAGAAATTTCCAAATTGTTTAGTCGTTAATAGTAAAATTCTAGCTTAAGTATGGTGAAATTGTTGAACTTTACAACAAAATTTCCAAAATGTATTTATTTTTAGTAAATTTTACATTAAAAACGAAATAGATTTTATGTTAAAATTAAATTCTGAGAAAGTTCTCCTAATCAATAGGCCATTTTTCTTGATTTTGGAGTTAAGAAAATAGAAAATAATAAACAAAATATTAATGCAACCCGCTTGACATGCTTGTCAAATAAATTGCATAAATCGAGAATTAATTATATTACATGTGATTTATGCTAATTCTTGAGACCCTCTTTGTGCAGTTTGCAATTTAATTAAAATTTTGTAATTTTCTATCACCTTCAACATTTGGAAGGGAAATTTAAATGTAATTTTTAAGCGTTTTTAAAAGTTTGATGTAGATCGAGCGATGAAATTTCTAGATCTCTTTATTTTCAACTCGGCCACAGACAGAATTGGCAAATTGCTTTTTTTTCTTAATTGAAAAGTCACGTTCTAAAAACAAAGGACGCGAATCATTTGCCACGTCACAACACGCGGTGTCTTATTTGGCTGTGCGATGAGCCATGCATGGGAAAGTGTGGCGGAAGAAGGGATGCGAGAGAGGAGGAGGAGGAGCACCTCTCGGCTCGCTCCATCCGTCCATAATTCTGTCCAAGGCAGTTCAAGTTTGCACCTCGACAGTGTGTTTTCGCACCTGCCTTGGATAAATATTTGAATTTCTCCACTCGCGTGAGTCCTCATTTACTAATCGGCGGGCATTGGCACTTGAAAATAAACACAAGCCGAGAAATTTCTCGTTTCGTGGCTGTTTTCGCTCAATCTTTTGCAACGCCCTCGCCTTTTCAATCAGTCCAAGCCTTTTTCATTATTTTGATCGTTTCAAAGTTGTGGAAAATTTTAGTTTTATGGATATTTAAAAATTTTTATATCATTTATGAATTTTTGTTTGCTTTTTTTCACTTCTTATAAATGCGGAGATGTTTATTTATATAACCATAACCACATGCGCTCTAACTTTAGCATCTACCAAGCAATAAAATAATGTCCTAGTTTAAAGTAACTGACTAGGGAACATCGACGATCATTCAATAATTCCAATATAATTATTTAATTTTAAATTATTAAGTGGGTTTAAACTTATTTTCATTCAAAACTTTCTAATTCTTGTTTAATTAAATGATTAATTGATTGTGCCTCTACATTTATTCAACATTAATAGAAAGTAAGAAAATTACTTAAAAATTATGGCAAAAGTTTTGCAAAAAAAAAAACATCAAGTAAAAATCAAATTGTAAATTTTATTTAAATTTTAAAAATCATGCTATTATCAATGCCTTTTATATTTAATTTTAATTTCAATCCAATGATTTCTTTCTTAGCCCTGAAGTTTTGAAGGTTTCATAAATTTTGGAATTTTGACGAGCTAAATTGAAGTAAAAATTTTCGCTGGTGTATATTTTGAAAGAAAAAAAAACAGCTGTTCAATATTTTAGTATTTATAAAAATATTCTTTCTGCCTAACAATAAGATCAAGTTTACCACGTGCGCCTGCAGATTTTTAAATTAGGCAACCTGTTGAGCATGATAACTAGGTTTCACTAGAGGGGCAGCTTTATTATTTTGAATAAATTAAAAGTTGTCTCCGATTTTTTTTTTTATATATAATATAAGAAGTAAAGAAATAGAAGTTACAACAAAATACAAAACTAATTTCTTGTTTTTGTTAATACAAAAAGTGGATTTATACAGTTGGTTCTTTCTATTCAAAGAAATTAATTCATGCATATGTTTATGAAATAAAAAAAACCCTAAAGAGCTGCGTAAACTTAATGATTTTTATAATCAATTCTTACTAACTTACTTGAACCATAGAATATATATTAATGTATTTGAAAATTTCAGAAAAATATTAGAATTTTAACTTTTTTAATTAACTTCAGCTGAATTTTTTCATATTTTCAATCATCACATTTGTCCAAATTGACATAGACTAATAATACAATATCTAAAACGTTCCATTGTATATGAAATTTTCCTTTAAGTTTTAGACTTTAACAATTTTTTCCAATTTTGGTCAAAAAATTATATTTGAAACTTGGATTAATTAAATTTTGTTGAATTTTTGTGCAAAATTGTTTGATTGCAGAATCAACTTTCACGAACTAGCCGCCCCCAACCTGGCGAACTCGGCCGTGCTGCGCATGTTAGAAGAGGAGGAAAGGGTCGGAGGAGGTGAGCAGTCGCCGACGACCAGGCGACGCTCGGCGTTGCGAGGCGTCGTCTGGCCGCCGACGCCCCCCACTTCGCCCCAAACGCGGCGCCGGCTCTTAGGGAGCAGAGCCGGCCCCACCGACTGGCCCCCGAGCCAGTCGCGCCTCGATGAGCCGCCCACCGTGCCCACCCCCGTGAGGCTCGCCCAAGCAGCAGCCCCCGAGCAACAACCCTTTACGAATTCGAACTCGACCCCGTTCAGATCTGAAAGTCCCGCAGGTGCAGCCCCACAGGCCATTACAATTATTTGCTTTTTTGCAAAAAAATGTGGTTTTCTTGTGGTGGTGGTTTTACCCTGCCTGCGTTTTCTTCCCCAAATGTGCTCTTTTTGCATTTTGGTTTGAGATTCGTAAACCTTTGTTCGACCCCCTTTCCCAATTTTTTTAAATGTATATGTGTGAATTATTTAGTGTTTCTGAAGTTTATATTTTATTGAATCGAAAATTTCTTTATAAAAAATCCTGTGCATACATAGTTTTTTTTTTTTTAATAATTATTTAGAACAAAAAGTGAAAGACATTTGAATTTTTTTTCTCCTATTTGAAAAGGTTTTAATTTCAAATATTCGTGCATACAAAATTTAATTTTGTTATGTTCCCTACTATTTGATTAAGATTTTGATTTATTTAGAATGAAAAAAAAAAAATCAATTCGAAAGCACTGTGAGCCAATATAGTACTATAAAATAAATACACAACAAACACCATGACCAATAGAAATTGACAATGAATTAGAAATGGAATGACTGCATTATACAAAATTTTGGAACCTGTTCAGAACAGGTGCAGACCTGGTGTAAAACTGATGCGGAACAGTTGAACCCGGTTCTGCACCAGTTCTGTACCATTTTTGAACCAGGTCTGCACTATTTCTAAATTGTAAAAATTCTGATACAAAAAAATTTATAAGCCTACAAAATGATTTAAAAAAATCGTTGACAAAGCCATTATAAATGCAAATACGAAAGTTTGAAGACAGCAAATTAAATTTCCAATTGATGATTTGTTCTGGTAAAAAATCTAAAATTTTTATTCTACTTTAAAAAGAAATCATACTTTGAATATTTGACTTACAGACTTAATGAAGCACATGGAAAAAAATTATACAAAATTCTGGAACTTGTTCAGAACTGGTGCAGACCTGGTGCAAAACTGATGCGGACCGGTTCTGCACCAGTTCTGTACCATTTTTGAACCAGGTCTGCAGAAATTCTATATTTAAAAAAAAATTTGGCACAAAAAATTTTTACATTTTTCTGCTCAAAATATATTAAATTTAATGAAAAAATAACTATCAATCGTCGGTATAATTGCATGAAAATATAGTGCAGTCCTAGTCTTATTGTTAATTCTTAAAAAGTAATATGGATGGATCACTTCCTGGTACTTGACAAAAAAAAATTAAGTCAAAAAATTATTACAAAGAGTACAATAAATTTAATAAAATCATTAAAACATTATTTAGTATAAAATGTAGCTTTAAATTGGATTTGAAAATATTTAAAATATTATTTGAACTTTTGTTTTAGCTCAGTTTTGCAAATTGTTCAGATTTGTTTAAATTTTCAATACATAATAACCGAGTTTTTCATTTTAATTTTTAAATTCATTGCTATTTTGGCATTTTTTGAACGTACATATTTTATTTTCGTTTGATTTCCTATTCTAAATATGATACTGCTGTTTACCGACTTTGTTTGATCTATTTTCTCGACGTGATATTCTTGTTACAAAATTTAATGAAAAGCGTCGTTTGCTTTGCGGGTTGCATCAGTGCAGCTAGCGTATAGCATATTTTGCGTGCAGTAATTCAAGTATTTAATCTCGCGCGCGCTTCGAACATGAAGCTGCTGGCAAGTGCCCTAAAACTATTTCAGGCTAGTGCGGCTTTCGGGTCCACCTGCTGAGCGGCTCGTGTCATTTCACGTTAATCGCGTGCATTTTCTGAAATTGCTGTAAAAATAGCAGCTGCGTGAAGAGAAAGAGGAAAAATAACTGGGTTGAAGCAAGTCCAGATGTTAGGAAACTCGAGTGAAAACAAACAAATGTGCACTTGGGTTTATTTTGAAAGGTCTTTAATTTGGGTACAAAAAAAGTGAAAATTCTGATGATTATTTTATTTTTGATACTGAAAATTTTAATAAAATCACTTTTTCTCCTTTTTTAAGCAACTTTCGCCAACTTCATCTTAAAAAATTTTATTTATTTTTTTTAACTCTCTCATTTTGTTTAAGAAGAATCATGAAATTCAGGATATCTTAAATAATAATTTAGTTAAATTCAATTTTTTTCATGATTTTTTCTTGAAAAATAATCACAAATTTTTCTACTGGGAGGATTTTTCTTCTCTGCTAGCAATTTTTAACCTAAATCCCAGAGCATTAAATAATAAAGGAAAAAATATAGAAGTGCTTCATCTTTTTTGCATTCCAGACTTAAAAATTAACGCCTTGTCTCCGTGACGCAAAATCCACTTTGCGCGTGGGAGTTTTTAGCTTTCGCAAAAAAGCAGCAGTAATTTTTTAAGTGCCATTCCACCAGTCGGAGGGTGGCGTGGTATAAGTGGCAGGCTAGATTTCGTAGCTGCCCATCAAGATAAATTATGTCTGGCTTGTCCACTTGTCCGTCGTCCCTGCCTAGAATTTCCACGAATGAAATAAAAAACGAGCGTCCCGAATCATCTCTGAGAGAAAACGCGGCGCCGTGAGTCAGTCAGCGGGGTAAAAAAATTAAGAATAAAGTAGGCCACCTGGTGGTTATTCCTGGCCCATAATGCGGCACATAATAATGAATTTGTCACCGACTGGAGAGGAGAACATCTAGCGGGGCGCGCGCATGACTTGCGGCCACGCACGCATCCCTCTCTGAGCCGCGAACCTCATTTGCGTCCTTCCCGTTGAAAGACACTTTGCAGAACGCGTTCGGCGCACTCGGTGGATTTGACGATTGAGGAGCCTCAATTTACTTTTCGTTTCACAGGTCAAGCATATTGATTTAAAGTAGTCCTTTAAATATTTGCTCCAAATCATTTTTATCTCTATTGTTTAATTATTTTTTAATTTTAAAATAGTCCTTAATTTTGAATTAAATTTTTCCCAACGTTTGTATTAAATAGTTTATATTCATTTTTAATTTTTTTTCTGATTGAAATCGTTTCGTGAGAGTTTTTTAATTATTTTAATCTTATAAAACTACAATTTAACTTCTTCTTAAGAATATTTTTTGAACGGTCAATATCTTTTCTCTGATCCACAAACTTTGTTGGAAAACATATTTAATTTGTTTTGGGTTCTTTATTCTGAATGGACCACCTTGGGCTGCTTACATTGAGACTGAAAGGAATTCGTTTCCGCGTGCCAGCCCGAAACCTAATCCTTCCAACTTGTCGGCTGCCAAGAAAGAAAATGAGCCCAAAATCTGGCTAATTTGAACGTACATTTTGATCATTTTTAGGTACAATTCACTCCAATTATATTTATAATTTTTCTTTTCATATTTAAAGTTCAGAACTAATATGTATTTAAAATTAAACAAATTTTCACCAATTCTTGCGCAAATTTAATGTAGATTTGTGTTTCTTAAATTTAGAAGTGTTTTCCAAGCAACGAAATTCCTCAGCAATGAACAATTAAAATATTTCTGCCTAACAATGAAGTATGACTCAGCGAGCAAAGCACTTCTCTGTTCGCACCTGCAGCCGAATACTGGTTGAAAGCAGGCCCCACTTTTCTATGTTTGAAGTTTGAACCTGGTGCCAAAGAAAATAATTATTTTTTATTCAAATGCTGTGTGTGTGTCCAAGTCTCCACTCGAAACCCCTCCTCAGCTCTCTCTTGACGTAAATTCGCGTGCTGACACTCTCTGGTCCGCCCTTCGCTGTCACTCATAGCTTTTAAAACCAATCTTCTCGCCATTCGCAGGTATCAAAAGAGTGACCTGGCCCCCACCACCGCAGGAATCGACCATCGTCGCAACAACTTTTGAGCAGCCGCTTGATTTCCCGAACCTCCAGGTTAGAAAATTTTAAGCAAAAGTTGATAATTTTAGTAACATTAAAATCAAAATTGGATTTTTGGTTAAATTTGTGGATACAAAAAATTAATCTTTTCAAAAATCAAAATTGAGAATAGTGTATTATTTATTTTAACTTAATTTATTTGAGAGTTGGGAATTGAAAATTTTTAAAATTAATTTAGGCTGTTAATATAAACACTGTTTTATTCCTGTTTAAGTTTTCAGTAACACTGAACTTTTTTCTGTGCAGAATTTTATGAATTAATACGTGCACTTTCAATAAATGTCACCATTTGGCAAACATAAATTTCCTCAAGGTTCCTTTTTTCAAAATATATGACATCCGGTCGTCGGATGAAGTAGTAATAATTATTTTCAGGCCATGTCAAAACAAATTCCACGTGTGTTCTTGGAAACCTACAAACATAAGTTTATCTTTTTATATTGGTGCACCAATATTTTCATAGCTCGTAATTTTGTAGCATACCGATTTAGCAGATTTATTATAAGATAGGCAACCTGCACGTCTCTCATGTAAAGCGGATAGCCTATGTGATTAATAATCAGGCGCTAATAGATTCTGATTATTTACAATTAGCAAGAAAGTTTAATCCAATCAGAATCAATATTCTTTTGATTCTAAAAAACTAGTATGAAAATTTTTAATAAGTAAAATATATTTTCGGAGCCATATTTCCAAATTATCATAAATTTAGTCTTAGAAATTTACATATTATTGTATTTGAATTTTTTAAATAGCGTCAATTAATTACAAAATTCAGAAATAATTAATTCAATCATTTTCCTCAATGGACAGAAAAGAAAGAAGATTAATTTTAAGAATTTTCTATTTTGAAATTTTCAATTCAAACAGCGAAATTGTTTTTAAATTATTTATTTAAATATAATGATTAAAAATTGAATGTCAATTGAATCTCTTTAGTTGTCACTTGTTTAAATAAAATTTTTATTTTTGCGCATTCAGGGAGACCTAGTGGCTCATCCACCAGCCACCCTGCTCTACTCGCCACCGCCCCCGGGGGAGCCGGCTGTTCCCATGGAGGCGCCGCCGCCAGCCAGCAACAGCACGTGCGTGTTCACGATTCCGTCGGTGGCTGCTCCGTCGCCGCCTCCACCCGCCTCCATCACGCTGCGTCAGGCTGCCCCCGTGTCTCAGCCGCCGCCCCCGGTGGTGCGTTCGCAGCCTGCCGTGCCGGAGGCGGCGTTCTCGCGACGCGGCGACACCAAGTGGCCTCCGCAGGCGGTCAAGGTCCAGCGAGAGGCCGAAAAGGCCCAGCAGGCCGAAATCGCAAAGGGGCCCGCATGCCGCCCCCGACGCCAGAGAAAGGATTACACGTCCTTCTTCGAGCAGCACCGCCTCCTGCCCACTTATTCGCACTACAGGGCACCCCCTGGCACCCAACACTACCCTGAAGGCCAGTGAAAATCATGAAGAAAAATTCAATAACTCTTTTGCGTCTAAAAATTTAAATCGTTTTGTAGAAAATTTTACAAATTATTTTTTTCCAGGATAAAATGGAAATTGTTCAATTGCAGGCGATTTTCCGATTTAAAATGCGTTATGATTTAATTTTTTCAATATCAGATTTACATAAATAAAACGTCTTTGAAAATCACTTGCATGGAAAGTCCTGCACTTAATTAATAAGAGAGCCGACGCACATATTCACTTTTGAAATAAATAAATGTCTGCAATATAAAGTTACCCTGGTTCTAATCTACATTATGTTATTAAATACCAACAATCATCATCAAAGTTGGCTGTTATGTATAATATGTCAAAAATACATAATTTATATATGTGTTTATTTTAATTTAAATAAATATTAAGTAACAGAAATCTATATATGATCAATGGATATTGCGCAAAACTGCAAAAGCTATTTGTCTCGGCCTTGAATTTCCGCTTCCGACCTGACCTGGAGATCGAGATTGCGTTTTTAAGACTAACCCTTCCAGATATTTGAGCTCCCTGCCGTCACAAAGATCTTCCAGCTGAGGTCAGCAGGCGGAAATTCATGAAATTAGTCAATTTTGATTCTTCTGTAAGCGCCAAGATTTAAACTAATAAACGCTTGACTTGCTTTAATTCAACTTTTGTAATTATTTTCACACCTTTTAAAAAAACTTTAAAAATTCCAAAGGCAACAAAATTTTATTTGGATCTTATTATTGTTATTATTTTTCTAGAACTAACTTTTAAAAAATATTTGTCTAAACTATAATTAAAAATATTTAATAATCTTTTGGTAAGAGGCCTTGTGAAGTTGGCCCACATTCCTCACAATCAGTGCAGACCGGTCCCTCAATTAAAAGTCTAGAGTGAAACACTAAAAACTTAGTATGAGAATTCTGTAAATTTTCATTTCATTACTTTCAAATTATAAAAAATATTTATAAGTCTTCGAACGTTATTTTAAATTTATATTTATTTCATCCATTAAATTACAAATTAGAAACTCAGTCGGCAGATTCCGAGTGCTTAGTCTAATAAATATGAACTTGAAGATTTTAATTAATTGAAAATGATCTCCACTTATAGCAGACCGCTACAAAACCAAAATGAATTAACCTCTTAGGTTCTGAGGCGTCAAAACCTAAACCAAAAAAGGGGCATCCATGCATAAAAGTACGATGAATAAAGTTTTAAGAGTTATTTGTACACTTCCGCTGTAAATCTACTTCCTCTTCTTACTCTTAGGGCCAGGTTTGTATGGCTTCTTGCTTTTGGCCTTCTCCTCTGGCTCGTCGTCATCGTTTTCCTCTTTCTCTTCCTCTTCAGGCTCGTCCTTGGGCTCGTCATCATTCTCTTCAGCGTCCTCAGAGGGCTTTTCTTCCTCCGGTTCCTCCTTTTCCTCTTCCTCCTTCTCTTCTGGCTCTTCCTCTTCTACCTTCTCCTCTTCCTCCTCAGACTCATCAGCGGCTTTTCCATTTTTCTTGCCTCCCTTTTTCTTGGGGGGAGACTTCTTAGGCCTTCCCTTCTTGCTCTTCGGTGCAGGCTTCTTGTCAGTCTTCTTTGACGAGCCTTCCTTCTGCAACAAAAATCAGCTCTGGGAATTTTTTCCAATCAATCGTGATTACCTTCTCGAGGCATTTTTTCATCAGATTAGGACAATCAAGATTTTCCTCGGGCTCCCAGGTGTTGGAGCGAGCTGAGAAGCCTTTCCACTTGATGAAGAACTCTCTTTTGCCTTTCACTGTACGTACATCCACGCACTCTTCAACCTGAATTACAAGCATCATTATAAGATGGGATCAATGCAATATAACATCTTTTTAAAAATCAAGATTACATGGAAAATTTAAACTGGGGAGGTGATTTTCTCTCTTCAAATTTATATTAAAATAAAAAGATGGCATTAAGAAAAAATGGCCTCTTGTTGCTTAAATTAACAATGTATAAGAAAAAAAAACTTAAATAACTTGTTCTCTGTGCTTCTGAGGCAAAAAATCCTATCTGAATATGTAAAGGTCAATAACCTTTGGCAAATTTTGGTCAAAGGTCACCTTCACGTCTAATAAGTTATCAATTCTTATCCACTTTTCTTTAATTTCCTATACTAACTAAATCGATAGAATCCGCACCTCATAGTCCTCCTCGTCTTCCTCATCCTCCTGCTCAGCGTCTCGCTTTTTCTCAAAATCGGCCACCAACTTGGGACAGCTCATGTCTCCCTCGTCAACCCAGGTGTCGTCCTTGGGGCCGTAGTTGAGCCACCTGACCTTGAACTGGCGCTTGCCTCGGATAAATCTCTCATCGACGATGAACTGGACTTCGTAGTCCTCAACCTCATCCTCGGAGCTGCTTTCTCGCTCGTTCTGCAGTGTTCAAATCAAAGGTAACCAATGTCCAAACAAAAAAATAATTGAGAATTGTTGACCTCTCTGTACTTGGCTTTGCCCTTTTCCCTCTTGCTTACTCGTTGCTTCTTCGACTCGGCCGACTTGAAGGTCTTTGTGGGAGACCGTTTTCGCTTTCCGCTCACTTCCTCTGGCTTCATCTCTGTTCTCTCTATCAAAAATGAATTAAAATAATTAACAAGAATTTTCATGAATAATAATTACATTGATAGCAAATATCTACAGAAAATTTGAAGAGTAATTTTCCAAAAAATCTGCCATGAGTTTATATGATAGATGAAAATATCCACGATAATCAAGGATTGTGTATTCAAGTGTGTTATGTATTTTCAGATGAAACCCTTTTTTGTGTTAGAGAATCCCATTCAATCCACCACCACAAAATACACATTTTCAGAACATTCTAAGATTATTATTGAGTATTTCCTTTCATTGCAATTTTTTATACATAAACCAGGTTGATGGATGCAATTATTTACGTTACAGGTTAGTATAGAAAAATGGACCCAACCTTCTTCTTGTTCAATCTTTTGAAAATTTTCAGAAACAACAACAGTTACTGTTTCTTCCAATTGGCCCTCCTTTGATTTACTCGCCTTGGATCCCATGCAATGAGAAACTCAGCTTTTTAGAAAATCTGCAACGAAATTTGATTTCCAATAATAAATTGAAATCATTATACAGCAGTTGTTTTTCTTTGAAATTTATAGAATTATGCATGATGTGCGAACAAAAAGGAGGGGCAGGTGTGTTTTCAATGATCATAAATCATAAAATAATAACAAATATGTACATAAATATGATTTACTTTTGGTTTGGTCACATTAATCAGGTGAGTATCGATTGCAAAATTTATCAGAAAACTTTTGACAAAAGAATTATGACGCCGGCTTTGATCGTTTTCTCTTGAAACGAACCAGAAAATGACCAACCCGAAATTAGATTTTTGGGTGAGCCAAAATAATATATAATAATATTATTAGTTATTGGGTTTTACGTTTAAAGAGTACCACAAACGTCTAAGCTTGGATGAAAAGCCAAAATATTAAATGATTTGAAGACTTACTGTAGCTTCCCTGCAGATGTTTACAACGAAGCTCGACTCGAAATCGAAACGATTCTGCTCGAAGCTGAAGGACGCTGAATTTTCTTTGGCCAAATTCACCAACTTAACAATGTTTTACGCGGGAAATCAAAGGGGCTGATTAGCTTGCTTCGGGAGCTTTTATAAGTTTTCATACTACGGAAAAGAGAAATTTATTAAATTAATGTCGATATTAGAAGTGCCTGAAACGATGATTCCTCTACATTGGGTAGTTATAAATAATTTTATAGTGTTAAGTTGGTAAGACTGCTGCTTGCTTGTCTTGAAAATTATCAAATAGGAAAAAATCAAGGACAAAAATGTGGTTTATTTTTGCTTTCAATTTTATATTTTTAAGTACTGATTTTGCAGCCAAAAGCCTAATAATAAAAGATTAAATGTTGCATTGCAGTTTAATCAAAACGATCCACCAGTATCATTTCCTTGATTCTAACAACCACATAAAATAAATAATTTTAATTGTCAAATTTTGTTTAAAAAATCATCAATAGATGGCACAAATAGCAATAATACCGGTATTATAAAAATAACCGGTATTTTTCAACTCATGTAAATTTACTTTTTAAAGTAAATTAAAAATTCATCTAATATGTTTTAAATTATTTTAAAGTTTCAATGATATTTTAAACGCAAAAATATATTAAAGAGCTATTATTTATTATTTTTCGTTTGCATAAACTCAAACATGCATTTACACAAATTATATTAACCGGTTTATATGCGCTGCAGACCGGAATTCGTGATACCGATGACGTCACTTCCTCTCTTCAGCGGCTGTCGGCTAGCGTGTTGCATGATCTGCTCGATCCTCGCATTATTTTCCCTGTTTTCCCCAGCTATGGCCGCAGCCCGTGAACGCACTTTCTTGATGATCAAGCCCGACGGTGTCCAGAGAGGACTGGTCGGCAAAATCATCCAGCGCTTCGAGGAGAAGGGCTTCAAACTGGTCGCCATGAAGTACTTGTGGGTGCGTATCTATTTTTCCACATGTCCACGCCGGCCGGTGTCCTCGTGAGGGTGTCAAAATTACATTTGAAAAGTTTTTAATTATGAATTCATAATTTTTTTCAAGCTTTCTTTGGGTGGTTGAAATTCCTGGGATTAAATTTTTCAATCCATCTTGAACCAATTAAAATTATTGCCAACGTGTTACTTTTGTATTATTTACAATGTTTATTTAAATTTAAATCATAATTATTAGTTTGGTTGAAATTTCATTAACTTCATGACATACTTAAATTGTTTAGATTACTCTTAATTCTACAAAGCTTCTTTTTGTTCCACTTCTATAATTGGATTTATGTTTTTCAGGCCTCTGAGGATTTACTGAAGGAGCATTACGCTGATCTCGCCAAATTTCCCTTCTACCCCAGCCTGATCAAGTACATGAACTCCGGCCCCGTTGTGCCTATGGTTTGTTCCCTTTCTTTTTCTGTGTTTCCATCACACTAATGCACTTTGATTGATCACATAAAAACACAAACCCCTCTCAAGGGAATCACCCCTGTGCTTGCTGCCTCATCCACTTATAAAATCAATCAATCAAGTAAAGGAAAAAAATTCAGCGAATTTATCTTGTGCCGTCCCTCTCTCTAGAGCTGTTTTACTTTCCCAACCATTCCGATAATTTATGATCTTTCTCAAAGATTTTCCTGATTTAATTATCAAATTATTTTCTGGCAGGTCTGGGAAGGCCAAAACGTTGTGAAGACAGGACGTGTGATGCTCGGCACGACCAATCCCGTCGACTCTGCCCCAGGAACCATCCGTGGAGACTTCTGTATCCAAACTGGACGGTAATTATGATCACTCTTTATAATTTCAAACTATACTTCGTCTGAATTTCCTTATTATGTTTGATTATCTTGTCCGTTCTGTTATAAACAAGTTTTTTTAATAAGTAATCCTCTCAAGTAATTTATTGGATAATTTTGCTGAGAATTCATTACAATTAACAAATTTAAATTGAGGACATATATTAATGAAAAAATTTTCAACAGCGACGGCTTACATAATTATACATTCATATTATTTAACAAACTCCAAGAAATGCAGGTAAATTATTCAAAGTTTGATTTTCGACGCTTCCGCAAATGTTAAATTATACTCACTATGCAATCGAAGAGATGATGTAAGCCAATTTTTTTCATGGCAAAAAGTACATAAACATTTGTCATTTTATACAATTTATAAAAAATACTATTTTGTTGGGGGAAATGTCCGTATCTATTGAAAAGAAATTAAATGAAATATCCATAATTGGTTTCCTTAGTTTGAAAATTACTTAATCAAACACTCTTATGTACTGAAAAAGCTTTTAAATGGTCTTCTTTTAATTTTTTTTCCGACCTAAATCCCTCTTGGTTCCTAAAATGACGAACGTACAAGATATTAAAGGAACCATTGCTTAAAATTTGATTTTTTTCTTCAATTTTTCAAATCAAACAAAAGTCGCAAAAATCATTATAAAAAAATGATTCAAGACTTTATATATAAATTATAAATTTAATAGTGAAATTATTCTTGCTATTATGTTAGAGAAATTTTTACTAATGTAAAATCAAACTTGCAGCAACATTATCCATGGTTCGGACGCTGTTGAGTCTGCCAATAAGGAGATTGCTCTGTGGTTCAAGCCGGAAGAGCTGGTGGCCTGGCAGCCCGCTTCCGCCCCCTGGGTCTATGAGGATTAAATGATGCTGCTTTTTACAAGTAACATCACAAGAACTTATTTAACAGCCATTCCTCGCTTCGATTCCAGCAAAATGTGTGATTCTGCTGCTTTTTATCTGACCACTTTAGTGCCGACTTTTAGAAATGTTTTATTAAATGTTTAAATTTTGACCAAAACTCTTGTCGAGTTTAGCAGCTTTTAATTGGCCGTTTACTTTCACATTTAATGTTTTAATCTGAGTAAAGATTTCAAAACTGGCACTACCAAAATTGTAACCTAACATGGAGTTTAATTATTGTTGCAATACAAAACTGCTGTCTTTAAACAGCCCCTTTTTTATTAAAGGAACACGCTAGAATTCAACAGATTTTTCTTTCTCAACTCAACCCTGTAGAGCTCTTATGTTTTTTCAATTTTGCATGGACTCTTAGAAATTTATATTTCTTTTACTATATCAAATTTTTGAAAAGTGGCTGAACCATTTCTGTTTAAAGTAAGAAATCATTTTGATGAATTTATAATCGGTTAAGTATTTTTAAATCATCATGAATTATGTTAATGTATTGAAGGGACCTGGAAGCTCAAGTTGACGGGTTAAATGATAATTGATAACTGATCCTTACTATTTAAGAACTAACTCGTAACAAAAGCTATGTTTTGAAACTTGGGAGTCACAATGAAATTTATGGGACAAATAATCGGAGTTAAGATTTAAGAAAAATAATGGAATTTAAATTTATACAATAGTTTCCAGAATGCCCACTCAGGGTAATGAAATTAACTTAAATGAACAATCCTCAATAGATCCCAATGGATCCCAATTGTAGGGAAAGAATTCTTAAAAGATGAATAATCAGAGAATTAAAAAAAAAAAAAATGAATAAGGGAGCTGTTTCCATTATATTAAAATGAAAATTTGATTTATTTTAGCATTCATTTTATTACAGCAATTGAAGGTAAATTTTTCAATCAATTTGTGTAAGGATTTTATTAACAGGGATTATTTATACAAAGGAATTTTATCAAATTTTATGAAGTTCAGTGTATTATTGCAATGAATTATTATGGATCCATTTTATGTTGTGATACTTGTGATTGAACGCATGGTGACCACAATTTGAGCTGTAAATTTAAAGGTCAATGAAAGCCATTATTATTTTTCCATTAAGAAAAGGTCAACTGCAGACGATTTTTTTTGTATATTTAAAATCATTTATAAGAAAACTATGAAGAAATAATATTGTATTATGACCTTCAACTGTAATAAATTCATAAAAAAAATAATTTTATAGAAACCAACAGTTCATATTTACAAAAGAAACAATTATAAATATTTCCGCCCCACCCTTTCATACCAATTGTTGATTTACAAAATTGAAACACACACTTTAGATATTAAATTTGTGATACTAAACAATAACAACAACCAGCAACGCTACTTTTTGACAAGATAAATATTCATTTTACAGTTTTAAAACATGTTGGCGTAAACGAACAATCTGCGGTTTTTTATGGAATCCTCTCCGGAAGGGAAAGAAACCTCATGTAAAACAATTAAAACTTTCGCTCTGCATCGCGCCGTGCAAAAAACACACCCGTCTCCGGCTTGCAAACTTCTCTGCGTTCGTAATTACTCGACCGCAGCACGCGATACAACAGAAAGAGAGAAGTGCACGTTCTACCTACAATAAATTCATTTATCAAAGAGAGCGGAAGAGCGAATTAAACATTGAGAGGCTCTGTCTGGCCATTTCGATCGGCAAAGTCGAGCCGCCACCGAGCGTGTGGCCGTTCGGTGCATGCACCCTCGCCTGCGCGCCCTCCTGCCGACCGACCGAAATCCACCCCCTCCGAATGAACTTTCTCTCCACCTGGAGAACACGTCCAGACGAAGCCATTACTCTGAACATGGAAAAGGGAGCAAACGACCCACACAGCACGCGCCTCTCTCTATCGAAGGCTGAATTTATATAATTGTATTTTCCTAGGCGAACGAGCGCAATTAGCAGGTGATTAGCGCTGCGACTGGTTGGGCAAAACCGACGCGAGGCTTCGATCATTTCCCGGAAAAACGTCGCGACTGCGGCGCACACGCTGTGTCGTAAAATGAGAAAGCTGTTCAATTATACGCTGGGAAATTGAGTTCGTGTGTCGGAATGGGATTTATTTTCTGCCTGAAAGGGAGAACGCCGCCTCCGCGGAAAGGGAAAAGGGAGCAATGCTCGGCCGAGCAGACGTAGAGTGAAATACAAACTGAACCATAGTAGCGTATATAGTACTATACATTTGATAACCGGGTCAAATTTGAGTAGAGCTGACAAATTAAAGACGAGTTGAATAAAAAGGGTAAACAATTGCATGGATAAAATTTGCATTGGATTAAAGAATCATTTAAAAAAAATATGGTTATTATGAAAAAAATTGATTGTTCTGCAAAATTTTAATAATCCTACATGGAGACAGCACCGATTGTTGGAATTTTATAAAATTTCGACCGGCTCAATTTTTAGCAAAACAAATTTTTCAAATATTCCCATCAAAGCAATTATAATCTAAAAAAACTTCAGTTGTCTGGATTCATTAATTATTATTATTATTTTTTAGAAAATTACATCTAAAAACTGTTGCTTGATAACAAAAAAATCAACTGTATCAAAATGAATTGTTTTTTTTTCAAGGGAAGATATTTTCTAATTTTTCTATTATTGTTAAAAGCAGTTTAATCACTTAGAAATACTAATATTTCATCACTTTTCTGCATCTCAATCGCGAATTTATGAAATCCTGTCTGGCTCAGCACCTTGAATTGTGATCATCATTAATTAATTAAATTTTTCCTGACAAAAATTTACAGAATATTGCTGGAATTATAAATATTTCATGCATCTCTATATTTAATCATCTTTCAATTAGCTTATCAAGAATTTCGATCAGATTTATGTATAAAATTTATTTCTGCTCTTGGTGAATTTTTTTAAATTAGAAGACTTGATTTAAGTGGCAGGATATATATTTCCTTTTATTTATATTTGCGATGATTTTGGGTTGATGGCTCAAATTTAAAACCTCTATCGAACTTTGAAAGGAACTGTCAGGACCTACGAAAACTATCCTTTTTTTGTTTAGAAGTTTTTTCTTAAACAATAAAACTCTCAAAAACCAATCGAAGGAAAAGCCAAATTTAAATTCAAATCACCAAACAAAAAACTATCCTGTTTGTCGCTGTCTGTGATCTAACAATTTTTGTCAGGGATTGTAATTTCAGAAATTGCGTTTTAAACTAATTATACCGTGATATAAAATATTGCGTGTTCCAAATAATTAAATTGCATTTCGTCGCCATCAATCTCGTAAGTGACAAAAAAAATGACAAAATGCTACTGGCGTGTTTCTCCCCCAAGCTGCCTCACTTTTGTGACTTCCGAAAACACTTTCGCGATGATTAATTTTTCGTCTCTCTCTTCCGACGAACAACAGGGGAGACCGAGAAAGTGTATGAATGCTTTCGGTGCGTCGCAGGCACCAACCCCTCGGCCCGGGTCAGAGGTCAAGGTTGCGGGCGGGGGAGGCTGACTGATGGGAAATGGGCCGGCGTCGCCGAAAATGGGTTGGGAAAGGGAGAGTTTGCGCTGCAGCCAGCGAGAGTCGACGGCGGAACCGCCGCTTCGACCTGCGCCTGCAAAAAAGAGAACCACCCCCAGACGTGAGACCGGGCGCCCCGCCAACCCCAGACCCACCCCCTGGCTGGCTGGGGCGGCAGATCGATGGCGAACGTCTGTCTGGCCCGGTCGCAGCTGCGACTGGAGAAGGAAAAGAGAGATTTCACTCGCAGACATGCAAGCTCTCTCGCACCCCCGGCAACCCCCTCTCGCACCTCCGCAGCGCACATATATACACGCCGGCGAACGCACCCCCGGCTGCATTTCGCAACAACCAACCCTTGCTTCTTTCCTCACTCGCTCGCTCGCTGCTGCAAACCCGAGAGATGCGGCCGCTTTTTGCGCGGTTCGGCTTTGCGCAATATTTGCGTCCGTGCAGGACGAGGCAGATGGGAGTCTGCGAATTACGCAACCTGACGTTGCGAAATGATAAGGCATTGTTGCAAAAGCGAGAGCCGGGCGCGTCTAGTCTAGCCCGGGACTACACTTTTTGCTCATCTCGCTGCAGGGGATGAAATTGAAAAGCCGGATGTTATTGCGAAACTCGCCGCAGACAAAGATGTATAAAATATTCGCAGAATCGAATTTACTTCATGTTCCGTTTGCAATTTATTTGTAGGTGAATGAGGTGTAGATAATTTGAAACATACCCTGCGAAACCACGGAAACACGATAATATCGAAATGCAACCTAAAAAATCTCTAAATTATTAATTTTTTTTTTAAATAATAATTTCACGGATAAAAATTTAAAAAATTTGGAACTATAATTTCCTGCTCACGTATAAATTCAAGAATTTAATTATAGTAACATTGTCTAATCATGTAAAATTGTGATGAATTCTAGTTTACTGAAAATTTCATTACTGTTAGTTAGAAATTTACAAAAATTTAGTTTTTGCGAAAGTTCCAGATTCAAGATTAGACGTCAGATGAAGGCAATGAAAGATCGCAACTTTAAATCATATAATAATGTTGGTTCAATTATTAATTATGTAATCTTTATTTAGAAAGCCAAAAAACCTGTGTTGAATTTCATCTGAAATCGATATTTTTGCACGCTTTTTGTAAAATGAGACTAGTCAGTTTTCGCGGAAGCGTAAAATATCGGCAGTCAATATATTTTAGAAAGTAAGCAACAGAGAGGAGTAAAGAGTTTTTGCTTATAGTGATGATCTAAAGAGGTTCCAGTGAAATGGAAACAAGCATTTTTCTGCAGAAAAGATTGTACGTGGAAAATGTCATGAACTTTTAAGTTATTGGTCAATTGAATACATCGACCGTTTATATTGATTTTATTGCTCAGAGTTATAGGAGAATAATAAAAGTTAAATTTTATTGTAAATTTAGAACACTCTGGAAACAGCTTTTTTAAAATCGATAACGCATTCGTCATCGGTTTGCTCCAATGTAGGTTGAGAGTCAATTTTTAAATAAAAATGTTGTCAATAATTGGTATAACTTTTAAACATAGCATTTCTAAAGACGCAATTTTACAATACAATAAGTTTCGCCCACACTGTCTCGCACACTTCCTTGCGCAACACATTATCGGCTATGTTGTTATCACATCGTCTGGAAAAGATACCGCAAAAATAACAGTTAAAAATAATATCGAATGTTTGCCTTATGTGATCTTGACGAAAATAACATTCCAGAACATTTGACTAGGTCACAGCTAAGTTTTGACCTTTGGTTCA